CTCAGACTGACTCAGTAAAACCTTGAAGATCATCTTCCACTCAGACTGATTCAGTAAAAACTTGAAGATCATCCTCCACACAGACTGACTCAGTAAAAACTTGAAAATCATCTTCCACTCAGATTGATTCAGTAAAAGCTGGAAAATCATCTTTCACTCAGACTGACTCAGTAAAAACTTGAAGATCATCTTCTACACAGACTGACTCAGTAAAAGCTTCGGATATTCGCAGATAAATTTTTAACAAATATCTTACTTTAGAATAATCCGAATTTTTACGTACAACAAATTTATATGTTTATTAAAGCTTGCCAAATTTCGTAAATTCAGAATTATAGTAAACAGTATTAGGCAAAGCTTCACAGAGGTGGGGCCGGTCCAATGGTCTCCTTTGTTTTATCTCTCTACTGTGACGTCACACAGTCATTCGGAGACTATCTCGTTAAAACTCGGCAATTTCCGTCGATTTCCATGAGATAAATGTTCGTCAACAGAACCTTATTCTGAGAATATTATAATAACAATGTAGTTGTACTCTTTTATATGGCATCAAAATAACAGAAAAAAATGACTTTTTTTTTAACCAGTGTCCTTTAAGTAATGATACTTTAGAGACATGAAACTAATACTCTTATTTTCAGAGAATTTAAGCTTTTGTGTTTTTCAAAGCCAATAAAATACAATTAATGGAATTGCGAATTTTTTATGTTGGAACAATATCCCAAATAAGAATTTATTTATTTGGACATTCAGAACTTTGAATATAAAGTTATTTCCTTACAGTTTGTTTGTTTGTTTTTGAATTTTGCGCAAAGCTACACGAGGGCTATCTGCGCTAGCCGTCCCTAATTTAGCAGTGTAAGACTAGAGGGAAGGCAGCTAGTCATCAGAGTAGCCCAAAAGTTGGCGGTGGGTGGTTTTTTACCAACGAATAGTGGGATTGACCGTCACATTATAACGCCCCCACGGCTGAAAGGGCGAGCATGTTTGGTGTGACGGGGATTCGAACCCGCGACCCTCAGATTGCGAGTCGAGCGCCTTATCCACCTGGCCATGCCGGGCATTTCCTTACAGACGCAAGTTTCTTGCCGTATCTGATATATTTTATATTTTCTAAATAATTCAAGGTAACGCTGCAAACCAAGTCTCTTTGAATGGTTACTAGATGAAATTCTAATCTCTCAAAAAAATTCGTGGTTTTAAAAGCTGAAACACAAGGCTTTAAAATGGGAGAGAAAAAAAAAATCTTCGAACTGTTAGAAAAAATGAAGAGTGAAATATAAAAAAAACAAACTTGTAAACGTTTCGAAACCACTGCTTGCAAAGATTTATACGAATATTTAATAAATAATAAAACCTTTTTTCTTTCAGTGGTTATTTTCGTGTTTTTATATTTATCAAATTTCTTTAACTGCTAATTAATTTTCAAGAAACGCAATATTTCGTTGTTGTTTTTTTTTTTTATAAACCCGTGCGTTTATAATTTTATTTATTGTAACGTGTTTTAGAAACATTAAGCTATATACAGTACTCCTTTCAAACATGGCCGTATTTCTGGCGCCAACGTTCACGAGCTTTATCTTTGCGTCATCCTACTGCTAGTTTTTAGAAACCTTTTCTGTACATTTGGAATTAATTTTACATTGCATGATTTGAAAGATTTCAAAGCATAATTAATTAATGGAAAATATGATCAATGACGTTCAGTAACTTATAGACTTGCACGTTCAGATAGAGATAATTTTATTTGCTCGAACTTCTCGCGAAGTTGCTCGAGGCCTATCTGCGCTAGCAGTCCCTAATTTAGCAGTGTAAGACTAGAGGGAAGGCAGCTAGTCATCACCACCCACCGCCAACTCTTGGAGGCTACTCTTTTAACAACGAATAGTGGAATTGACCGTCACATTATAACGACCCCATGGCTGAAAGAGCGATAGTGTTCGGTGACGGGATTCGATCCTGCGACCCGCAGATTGCGAGCCCAGTTCACAAACCAACAGGCCATGCCAGGCTGCAGACTAAAGAGAGCGTAGCTAGTCAACAATACCCACCGCCAACCCTTGGATTACATTAGTCTAACTGAATAGGGTACTTGACCGTCACGTTGATAGAACACCCACGTACCCAAAGTACCAAACAACGGGACGCGAACCATTAATGGTTGAATTCACAGTCTGGGTACAGTATATCCATTCGGCCACGCCCAGCTGTATATAAATGATGTAATCGAGCCGAGCGTCCTAACACCAGGCCAATATAAAAATAAAATATTTCCACGTCAAAATAAAAAAAAGTTATTAAATTTAACTTATTTAATTAATTGCATGAACAAATGCTTAGCCTATTGGTGGCTTAATGGTAAGCTTGAGGGCAGGGTTTATTTTAACGTGCAGTACTAAAATTTATAATAAAAACTCCAATGTCATATGAAGAAACAAGAAGCCAATGCATGACCATGATACTGAAAAGCAAAAGTACCTTTATTTACTGTTTATATGACAAGAAGTATATTTTTAATTTTACATATGCTGATTAGAACTTTGTTTTACAATTTTTGTCAAATACTAAGATGATTACAACTTAAAACACTGTGTTTATATGACAAGAAATATATTTTTAGTCTTACATATTGTTACGACATCGAGGTCACGTGACTAGTATTACGCCACGTCATTCTCGAACCTTCGTGAATTGTCGGGAGATTACTAGATATAGTGTAGTCTTGTATATATAAGACTGGCCACGAAGCGACGGGGAGACAGTGAGTAATTGAACTGCAGTCAGAGAGTATTGTTGAAGTTGAGCACGTGAGACGTCGTTGTTATAGCGTTTGTTATAGCGCGACTGTTGAAATTAAGTGTATTGCAAAGTTGTATTCAGAAAGAATAAACCAGTTTTATTTAAGAAAGGACTTGTGTCGCTAAAGTTTCGTTGGAACGAAGTTACGGAAAATTAACCAACGAACGGAGACGTAACAATATGTTGAATAGTACTTTAGTTTACATTTTGTGTCAAATACTACAATACTACATGAGCTTACATGGCAAAGGATGGTTAAAAGACTTAAAACATTCTTAAATGCAAAACTATGCTGAATTGTACTTTAATTTACATTTTATGTCAAACACTACATGGTCAAAGACGGCTAAAACAGTAAAACTTTCATAAATTCAAGATTTGCAAATAATGCCAACTTGTATCTAGCATATAATCTAAAAAACAAATGCTTCTCAGACTCAGAGAATCTCAAACACTGGGTCATGGCACCTGCCTCAAAGATTTGTGCAGTTCTAAAATTTCCTTAAAATAAACCCTGCATGAGGGTGTATAGCGTTAGAATTCGAGGTTCGATCGAGCTAGAAGCATAGAGCAGCTAGGCCTTTTTTGCAGCTTTGAGCTATAACAAAACACATTATTTCTGAACATCCCTCTTTCGTTCTTTGGTCAACTCTCCAAGTGTAATGGTATTTCCTTATAATAGAGTTATTTAAAGATACGACACCAGGTGGTGATGATAAGTACAAAAAATCATTACACAGAAAAACTGTTTTCTTTCTACGTTTTGATGGGTATTGTATCGTAACTTGACCATGTTCGTTGATACAATCGTCACTCTAAGTTAGGCTAAACATATACTTAGAACAATGCTTTAAGTTAAGGAGTTCGTAATGCGGACAAAAACCAGCCCAAACCAGTTTGGTTTAAAACTAATTTGACCGCACAGAAGCGCCACTATCACACTCAAAACGATCTCTTATAGATAAGGACACCAAGTTTTGAAGAAAAAAAAGAAAAACACTAAGGTATTACAAGTGGCACTTTTCTACTGGTATGCACTGATGTTTTTGGTAAACTGTTCCATCTGGACATTGACATCCTGGTCTGCAGCGTCTCTGGCAGGGTTTTTTCCTTTTGTAATTCCGACATGTCAGTTTACACGGGGGCCCACACGTTGTAAAAACTGCCCCTTTAGGACAGTGTGCATCTGAAAATAAAAAAAATAAATTAAGTTTTTTTCTCCTGACGAAATCAGTAATGTATAAGACTGCGTTTCACCAGAATAATTAATGTTTTATTACTAGCTCATAATAGAGTCCCTCTTTTTCTTTGAATTTTAGGTCGACTTATTTTTTTTTATAGAGATTCGAGTAAACGTTGGACATCAGTTAATGTGGTAATATTTCATAATATTAACTGAAACTGAAACTGTTTTAAGTTGTATAAAATGATTTTTTATACATAAACAAAGGTTTGTTCACGATCTATGGTAAAGATACAAAGATTAGTAGGTAGGCCTTACAACCTCTTCTTCAGTCATCATTAGTTTTGTGTGTGATGACTATGGTTGTGGACAATTGTTCTGGTGTACGTTCTATTGAAAAAAAATGGCAAAGTGCTAACGTTGTGATAGCCACCCAGTGGCTCAACAGTGCTAAAAATCAAGTTTCGATACCCGTATTGGGCAGACCACGATAGCACATTGTGTACAAATAAAAACATTGTATCCACTTCAGCACAGCATAATGATATCTGAGTTATTCCTGTTGTTTTTTGGAAATATCCTCGTCGCGTGAGGATGTCAAAGTCCACTTGAGCAACCCAAAACCACAGAAGTCAATGGGAGATGTTTATGGATGGTATAACATGAATTCCGGAGATGTTTACGGATGATATAACACGAATTCCTGCATGCACATCTTTTGTAAAAACTGGCCTGTTGTCTTGATTTGTGACTGGATCCATATAAATGTGGAAGACACATGGACGTTGGGTAGAAGACGCCATTGTGATCCACATGCGTGTGGAAGATACATGGAAGTTGGGTAGAAGACGCCATTGTGATCCATATGCGTGTGGAAGACACACAGAAATAGGGTAGAAGACGCCATTGTGATCCACATGCATGTGGAAGACACATGGACGT